TGTTTCCAAAACAAAACAAAAAAAAACCTGTTTTAAAGTTCACCCAAAAAACCAGAGGTGTGTGAAAAATTGTTACTTTCACACCTGCCACCCCCTCCCCTGGGGGAGGGAGAAAAGAAACCTAGAACTCTCCCCACCCTCCTCCCCCTTTCACACACAACAAACCAGGAAGGAGGGAGGGGTGTGTATGTGTCTGTGTGTGTTTCGGACTGGGCTGCCGTAGCTTCACGGTAGCTTTTTGACGAGCCGCCACACAAGGAGAGGCTCTCAGTTCCCCCCCACCCCCACGGTCTTTGGCAAGCTTGGGAGAGGAAATATCTGGAGAAGGGAGGGGGTGGTGGGGGTGAGGCCCAGGGGATGTTGGTTTGTTGTTCCTGGTTTTAAAGAATGGTGGTGACTGTGGTTTGTTTTCTTTGAATGAGACGAGTGGCGGCCTTTCATTTCTCTGGGGGTTGCACAAGCTTGCGGGAAGGATCGTTTCACGGCAAGGAGGAGGAAGAGGAGGAGGACGGCTGGGGTGGGCGGCCCTGGGACCCCTTAGGACACCCCATTGACCAGGGAGGCCACCTCCGCCTCGCCCCCGCCGGCCGCGGCGCTGTGCTCCCCATTCTCCGAAGGGCCATTGACCATCTTGCTGCTTGCCTCCCCCTGGAAAAACGACAAAATGAGAGGGCGGTCAGAGGGGGGATTCTCGGCCTTCAAACCCACCCACCCCTCCCCACGCCAGGGACCAGAGGTGGGCTTCAAATAACTTTATCAACCCCAGTTGCTGGGTGGGGTGTGGGCAAGTTGGCAACCGGTACCACCGTGGTAGTGAAAACGGGGCTGCGGCAGGGGATGGGGACCCAACCCCCTTTCCCTGTTTTGTCTTCCCGGGGTTCCGGAGGCTCAAAATCAGCCCGTTTTTTCACCCCTGTGATCCAAAACGGCACTCCTGGGAGGGCCAGTCGCCGGAACGACCGGTTTGCCAAACCGGATGTTTATTTAAAAAAATAAAAAAAAAATTCACAGCCGGCTCGTGCGAACCGATAAGGAGCGCACCCCTGTTGTCCACTCGTCATCTATTTCTCGGGTCTTTATGTAGAGGGGCCAAGAGAAAGGAAGGGAGGGGTGAACAGTGCGGCAGCTTGGAAACCGAAAGGACATTTCATCGATGGTTTTTTTCAAGATAGTAACTTAGGGGACCGAAGTTTCTGCTGGTGCAAAATTCTAATTGGAGAACATGATTGAGAACTCTGGGCTATGGCTGTGTCCCATTGGAGAATATGATTTATGACAGAGAGTTGGCTGCACCCAGGCAGTGCGAGCAGGCTCACTCCCAATAAATCCTTTTTGGACATTTGGCTCGAGACTCAGGATTTATTTGGGGGGCAACCCCACCCCTACCTGGGATCCCCATCGTGCCATTGTCCCCCCTCTCCCCCTCTCCAGAGACCGAGACCACCACGTACCTTTTGCTTGGGGGAGGTTCCGCCCTCGGGGGTCTTCTCCTGGCTTTCCCGGCGGGGGGGTCCCTGGCGGCTCTGAGACTCCGCACGGGAGATGTAGTCTGCGACGGTCACTGCGGAGAGAGGAGAGAGCGCCGGGCATCAGGAGGGGAGGGGCACCTTCTACCAGGGACCCAACCCGAAGGGTCCGGCTAGGTCCCGCCCATTGCAGACCAGTCCTCGACGTACTACTGTAATGGCTCCATCTGCGCATTGCCGTCACTAAGTGAGATGATTTCAGCTTTGCTGCAGCCACGGGGTGTTCAGTGTGGGAAAAAAAACGGGGCCTGGAGTCCTTTTCTTCCCCCCCGCCCCGCCCCTGGGGCCGCTGTGAGCTCGGTCCCTAAAGGCGCCGCCGTGAAGACACAAGGGGTGCCTGTGGAGGCCCGCCCTGGCACTTACCCGGCTGGCGGTCCCGGCTGATGGAGCTCTCCAGGCGGTTAGCACGGTTACGGCGCCGCCGGCTGCGGTTACGTCTCTGTGGCTTCGACTCCTCCTCTGGTTTGAAATAAAAAGGGGAGAGTTGGGGAGGGAGAGATCTTTCCTGACTGACAAAGGCAAGAGGAAGGGCGTTGCCTGCGGAAGCCACGGGGACACGGGAAGAGAGCCCTCACCCATGCCGTTCTCGTTGACGGAGGTGTTGTCCGATTCCAGGCCTCCATCCATGACGGTGGTCTCCTCGTCGGTGCGGCGCCGGCGCGAGCGGCGCCGCCGGTTGCCGGGCCCCTGCGACTCACTGCCGTCTGTGTCGGCGTTCGGCTCGTTCTCGGGGTTCTCCAGCAGGCTGTAAGGGTTGCTGTCCGGGTCTCTCAGGACTGAGGGGAAAGCGGGAGGACCGGTTGGGTGGGTGGGCGGAGCCTCCAACCCTCTCAACCCACAGGGTTCCTTTTTGTACCTGAGCTGATCGACGAGGTGTTGTACTTGCTGTTGCTAGTGCTGTTCCCACGAGAGGCTGGAGCAGGACCCCGGCCTCGCCCGGGCCCCGGCCGCCGACGCCCGTCCTCCGGGCGGGGCTCTCGCTCCCCGGGGGGCGGGCAATCGTAGTCCTCCCTCTTCTCTGACTCAGTCTCGGAGGCGTTGGAGACTTCCGAGTTGGTAGCTGGAAGAGGCGGGTGGAGAGAAAGGAAGAGATGGGGCCTAGCTCCCTCCCACCCACCCCTTCGCCCGTGGGCTTCAAAAAGCACGAGGCTCCACCGGCTCACCGTAGCCAGAATTGCCTCCCCGCCGACCTCCACGGCCACGCCCGCCATAGCTGCCGCCATACGTCCTGGTGCTGTGCAGGGAGGAGCTGCTCTCGTCCGTGGTGTAGCCGCCCCGCTCTTTATCCCCGCGACCCGAGAGGGGCCGGAAGCCTAGGCCGATCTGGCGCAGCTGTTCGTCGATCTGCAGCCTCTCTAGGCGCAGCTGCTCCACTTCCTGCCCGGGGGAGGAAGGGGAGGAGGAAGGAGGGCTTAGACCGGGCGGGGAGAAATGGGGGGGGGAGGGTTCTGCCCTTGGAAGGGGGGGGGTGTCTTTACCTGGAGGTAGGAGAGGTGGTATTCCAGCAGGGCCTGGGCGTTGCTGATGTTCTCCTGCGTCCCCACAAAGATGAAGGGCACCATGCCCTGCAGAGAGGAGGGAGGAAGAGGAAGGAAGGGAAGATTCTACTCCCTCATTAACGACTTAGAGGAGGGCATAGAAGGGGAATTTGCCAAATTTGCAGAGGAGACTAAGCTGGCGGAAATAGCCAACACTCAAGAAGACAGGCTCAAGATCCAGATGGATCTTGACAGGCTAGAACACCGGGCCATATTTAACAAAATGAAATTCAAGGTAGAGAAAAGGAAAGTCCTACACTTAGGCAGGAAAAACCCAAAGGACCCATATAGACATATAGGAGAAACCAGGCTCAATAGCAGGGACTGTAATAAGTGATCTTGGAGTCTTAGTGGACAACCAGCTAAAGAGGAGCCAGCTGTGTGCAGCAGCAGCCAAAAAAAGCCAATGCAATCCTAAATTGTATTAACAGAGGGATACAATCCAGATCAAGTGAGGTACTAATACCACTCTGTAAAGCCTTAGTAAGGCCACACATGGAGTACTGCATCCAGGTTTAGTCATCACACTATAAAAAAGGATGTTGAGACTCTGGAAAGAGTACAGAGAAGAGCAACCAGGAGGATGAGGGGACTGGAGGCTAAAACATATGAAGAACGGTTACAGCAACTGGGCCTGGCTAGTCTAGGGAAGAGAAGGACCAGGGGAGACAGGAGAGCAGCCTTCCAGTATTTGAGAGCTTGGGGTTGGACTAGATGACCTACAAGTGTTGTAATGACGAGGCAGTCGAGGTGTTTGATCATGATCAATTGAATCATGATGAACTTTATTGGAGTCTAGTCTTGCATTTTATACACATTTTTAGTAATCCTCCAACATTGGTTAACTTGGTTTCTGCTTAACTTTCGTTACTGTTTAGCATAATAGTAATTAACACAATTAATTATCTCGTTAAAGTCTAACATATGTTTACTTCCTCTCTCTAATCCTCCTTTACATTAGTGACTTTGTTTGCCTGAGTTGTATTTGCTTGTAAACATTCCTTATCTGAGGTTTGCCATCCAAGATAAGAACATTCCTGCAATTACAACTCTACATTCAAGGTCCCTTCCAACTGATTTTCATCTGATTTTAAGGAACAAAAGGACCAGGGGAGACAGGAGAGCAGCCTTCCAATATTTGAGGGCGAGGGTTGGACTAGATGACCTCCAAGGTCCCTTCCAACTCTGTTCATCTGACTTTCATCTGATTTTAAGGAGCAAAAGGACCAGGGGAGACAGGAGAGCAGCCTTCCAGTATTTGAGGGAGGGGCTGCCACAGAGAGGAGGAGGGGTCAAGCTATTTTCTAAAGCGCCTGTAGGCCAGACAAGGAAGAATGGATGGAAACTGAACAAGGAGAGATTCAATTTTCTGACAGTGAAAACAATCAACCAAAGTTGCTTTTAGAAGTTGTGGGAGCTTCATCATCCCTGGAGGCTTTCAAGAAGAGACTGGACCGCCACTTGTCAGAAATGGGGTAGGGTCTCCCTCTTGGGAAGGAGAGGGGTTGGACTAGATGACCTCCAAGGCCCCTTCTGACTTTGATGATCTGCTAAGATGGCGGCGGCAAGGCCTCTCTGCCCCAGGAGTGAGGGTGGGGGGATGTCTCAGTGTGGAGGGGGAAAGGAGGGACCCTTGAGACGTCCGGGGGGGGGGGCTACCTCGGGTTGAGGAGGGTGATGGGCCAGGGGTGGGGGGAGAGGAGAACCAGCACCCCCGCAGCCAGCACAACCGCCCCCAAGAAGCTTCTCCAACTTTGGACCCGAAAGAAGCCCGAACGGATCCATGAGCCCCGAGCCACGTCGAGCCAAACTTCTTGGGGGTCCCAAGAGGTGAAACTTGGGACTTCCTTGGTGTTTCTTTTTTTTTTTTCTTTTTCCCCCCCTTTGGAAGACGTTTCGCTTCTCATCCCAGAAGCTTCTTCCAGCTCTGGAGGGTGGGAAGAAGGGAAGGATTCTTCGCCGGCAGAGAGCTGGTCATTTGCATCCTTTGGAGAGAGGTGTCGAGGCCACTTGGTGGTGGATCCGTGTCCTGCCTTGAACCCCCTTGGTGTGAGATGGGGGTTTCCACCACTCAGGTGGACACGGGCTAAAGCCTCCAAGTGGCCTCCACGGCTCTCTCTCGAAAGGACGCCAATGACCAGCTCTCTGCCTTGCAAGGAGGGTAAATCCTTCCCTTCCCCTCCATCCAAGTCGGAGCTGAGAAGTGAATCGTCCTCAAAGAAAAGAAGAAGAAAAAAAAAGAAAACAAACAAGAAAATCCAGTTACCTCCTGAAAAAAAGCACCTTTGGGACAAGCAGGACCTGGATGACAGAGAATCTCTGCAGAGTCTGAGCTGGGTGGTTTTCCTGGCAGACCTTTCATGACCCAACTAGGGAACGCCACCAGTGCTAGAAGGGAGTTGGGTTTGTGAGAAGGAGAGAGAGGAAGGAAGAGGAGGAGGAGGAAGAGGAGGAGGAGGAGGAGGAGGAATAGGACTGTGGAGTCCCCTTGGGGCTCTCTGAGCTGGGTGGTTTCCTGGCAGACCTTTCATGACCCAACTAGGGAACGCCATCAGTGCCCTTATCCTGATGATGTCATCTAGCTGGGCCATGAAACGCCCACCAGCCCTGAGGACTCCACAGTTCCACCCTGAGCAACAGATATTCTATTGGAAGCGATCCTGTCTTGAGAGGGGAGGGGGGGGGCAAGGGAAGCGGGCAGGGGGCCTGGCCAGCACAGCCGGCTCCACCTTACCTCCTCCCGAGGGTTCTTCTTGTCATTGTCCCCTTCCACCCGTACTCTCACCACGCCGGATTTGTCCACAATCTCCTGGATGACCTTCCCGTTCTTCCCTATCACTTTTCCTGCGGAGAGAAAGAAAGAAAGAAAAAGAAAGAAAAGAAAAAGAAAGAAAAAGACAGAGAAAGAAAGAAAAAGGAAGAAAGGAAAAGGAAAAGAAAGAAAACAAAAGGAAAAGAACGAAAAGAAAAAGAGAAAGAACAAGAAAGGAAGAAAGGAAAAGAAAAAAAGAGAAAAAAAGGAAGAGAAAGAAAAAGTAAGAGAAAGAAAAAGGGAAAGAAAAAGATAAAGAAACAGAAAAAGAAAGGAAAAGAAGGAAAAGAAAGAAAAAGAGAAAGAAAGAAAAGGAAGGAAAAGAAAATAAAGAAAAAGAAAGAATGAAAAAGAAAAAGGAAGGGAAAGAAAAAGAAAAGAAGGAAAAGAAAGGAAAGAAAGAAAAAGAAAGGAAAAGAGAAAGAAATAAAAAGGAAAAGAAAGAAAAAGAAAGGAAAAGAGAAAGAAAAAGGAAAAGAAAAAG